CTTCTGTGCTGCCATGCTCTCTGCCATAATGATAATGGACTAAATCTCTGAAACTGTAAGTAAGCCCAAATTAAATGCTTTCTTTTCTAAGAGTGGCCGTGGTCGTGGTATCTGTTCACAGAAATAGAAAACAGACTACATAACTTAAGCTATGCCTTACTGAAATTCCTGAAAATTATGGACATTATTTCAATTTGTTTCCATAAAAATGTATTTTTTAAAATATACATTTTGCATAAGAATATTCAAAAGTAGCTGAGTGAAAGCCTTTAATCCCTGTGCTCAGGAGACAGAGGCAGGAGGATCTCTTGAGTTCCAGGCCAGCCTGGTCTACAGAGTGAATTTCAGGCTAGCCAAAGTTACACAGAGAAACCTTATCCCAAAAGAAGAGTATGTTTTGAACTGGAGAGATGGCTCAGTGGTTAAAAGCACTAGAGGACCCAGGTTCAGTTCCCAGCACCCACATGGTAACTCTTAACTGTCTCTAACCCCAGTGCCAGGGGATCTGATGCCCTCACACAGACATGCATGTAGGCAAAACACCGATGCACACACACATGAAATTAAAATAAATACATTTTAAAAAGAATATTCAAAATCCTGTCATTATACAATATTGACAACAGACACAAGGGATATAATGATATAAGTGATTTTTTTCCAATAAAGTGAGATTTCGCACATCTATGTTCATCCATTTTATCTTTAATAATATCTTTAATAATATCTTTGATTTGTTGAATCTTTTCTTTGTTCTAAGTTACATTACAATTTCTTTTAACTGTCCCAACAATCCTAAAAGTTACATTAATTCCTCCATACTTTTGTTTTATTTATTATTAGTGGTGCATGTGCGTGCACATGGCCGGTGTGCTTGTCTTACCGGATGTATGTAGTCAGAACAGCCTTCGATAGGGTTTCCTTGCATGGTGAGCACTGAGGCTCCAACTCCGATCATCAGATTTACAGGAACAGGACAAGCACTTTCCCCCGCTGAGTCATAGTATTGGTTCTATGGCTACTTTCTTTAAGGCGATGAAGTGAGATATACAGAGATATGACTTCTACCACGCCCTCACTTATTCTGCGATGTATTTATTACTTATAATCATACTTATTTGTGTTTTAGTAGCCCATTTCACACATCCGGGTTGAAAGGAATGGATTCTGATTGTCCAGATGCACCCTGTGATCATCTTTTCTTTTTAATCTTACTTTTAAAAATAGCTAGACAATGTAAAAATAATTACAGGGGCTGACTTTAACATACTTGCGGGTCAGTTTTCGTGCAGAACAATCAATACGTACAACAAACACACTTGTAGGAAATAGTTAAAAAAGAAAATTGAATCTAGGCAAGGTGGCACATGCCTTTAATCCCAGTACTTCAGGGCAGAGGCAATATATTTCCGTGAGTTCAAGGCTAGCCTGATCTACACGATGAGTTCCAGAACAGGCCATGCTTCAAAACAAAACAAGCAAACAAACAAACAAAAAAAACAAAACCTAAACCAAAATACTGTCTCAAAAAAGAAAACAAGAAGGAAAGGAGGAAAGAAACTAAGCTTGACGGTGGCCCACTGTTTCTTTAAAACCTGTTTCCTAAAGTCTCCTGGAAGGGAGGCTGTCAGGGGTGTGGGCAGGGAAAGGGGGCGAATTCTCTGAAAACAGCAGAGGTGAAAGCGATCCAAGTACATTATGTTCATGAATGGAAATGTTATAAAGACATTCTCCTCTTTCTATAATTACTATGCTTTGATGAAAACCATTTGTGTGGGTTGAGGATGTAGTTCAGTTGGTAGAATGTTTTTCCCAGCATGCACAGGGCTCAGGAATCTGATTCCAGCACTGCTGAAACCAGGCATGGAGACATATTCCTGTAATCTCCAGGAAAGAGGAGGCAGGAGGACCCCAGGGCGCTTCCTATCCCAAGGCTTGCTCTAATATTACAGTGCCCAGTCCCATGCACTGTACAAGACTTCCTTTTGAGTTAAATCATTTTCCTCCTCCTACCAAGGGCAACCTTCAAACAGTGGAGCAGAGGTGGCCTTTGTTTCATCCGCCAGCACCTCCCTTGTCCCCTTCAGCTCGATCCCCAGGCTCCTGGGGTTAGAGGGATTTGGGGGAAGGAGCACAGAAAGTTCCTCCTCGGCTGCTGTCTTTCTGAAGGACTTTGCACTCCCCAGCCTGGCAGTTGTTGACAGCTGATTCTCCCATGGGACCACTGAGCTCTTCAGAAGTTTCCTTGGATGTTGTTCCCGCTGCAGAGCTACTAGAGAAACCAGCTCTCCAACAGTCCCTTTGCAAGTTGCGTTTCGATCCACCTCATTGCCTCCTTCGGTGTCTGATAGCTAGCGGATCTCAGAGACTCAGCCAGGGTTTCCTGGTCATAGCCCAAAACATTTGCCACTACAGCCCTTCTGGGTACTCTACACACTCTCACTTTAGTGGATGCGAGTCCAGAACGGAGCTTTCTTCCAGAAAATTAAGCAGTAATTATCTCAGGGTTGCTTCCTGGGCCTCCCATGGATATCAAAGTCCACAGATGCTCAACCGCTGTAGTGTTTGAAGATAACCTCTGCAGGTTATCAGCTCCAAAGCCCCTCCGGATCACACAGAATACAGCAACAATGACAGATAAATAGTTGCTGGTACTGTATTGTTTCGGGAATAACTGTGAGACAAAAATCTGTTCATATTCCACAGAGTTTCAATATATTTTTCAAGTATTTTCCATCTGGTTTGTTAAAAACACACATACGACGTGATACCGATAAAACACACATACGACGTGATACCGATAAAACACACATACGACATGATACCGATAAAACACACATACGACATGATACCAATAAAACACACATATGACGTGATACCGATAAAACACACATACGACGTGATACCGATAGAAACAGGTGGTCACTCATACATGATAAATGTTGCCTGGCATTTGGCACAGTGCTAAAAACATTGTTATTATTGCTAGTTATTACTGCTCATTTACAGTTTTATTTTTATTTCAATTTGAAAATGAATAACACCTACTCCTCACTCACTCTTTATTAACCCATATTTTAGTGGTTTTTCAATAAATATGTAGTTTCAGTTCTGTCTGTTCCATCTGTAAAACTGAAATCGATTCTGTCTTTCTCCAGTGATAGAAGTTTCTCATACGAGTTTACCTCAGTTTACATTTTTCTATTTAAAAATGGAGAAGAAAGCATAAACATAACATTTTAATCTATTGAAGGGTTAAATTCAAATAGAGGAATACAGTATCATTTCTAGTCAATATCATTCATGCATTTGATAAACTTATTGGAATACCATTGGAGCCACACATTTAAAAATAATAGTAATATTAAATTTTAAACTTCCTAATTCCTTTTCCTAACTCTCTTATCCTATCAGGATCACAACAGAGATTGCCACGGCAACTACGTCACTATGACCATGGCTAGGACAGGAAAGGGAGTTGCTTAAGACACACGTGAGGTGCTCATTTCTAATGCCATAGAAGTGCTTTTGCTTGTTTTCATAGTTTTGTTTTGTTTTTGTTTTTGAGACAGGGTTTTAGCACGTAGCATTGGGCCTGCAACCCATCATTCGTTTGTTCAATCAATTATTTCCTTGAACTCTTTCTGTGGACCAAACGTTATTCTTGTTGCTAGACATCCAAACAAGGAACAGTCAGATGAAAGGTGCTGGCCTTGGCATTGGGTCTCCAACAAGCACTGTAGAGAAAGAGAGCGTGGAGGAGGATAAAGACGTGCCAGAGTCAAATGAAGGGTTCAGACTACAATAGAATTCTGGAAAATCCTTACTGACAAAGTGACATTTGGACACAGAAGTGAAGGAAGAGGAATGGCTCTGAAGATTTTTGACAAAGGATTAGTAATTGTCTGTCACTTGCTTATGATAAAGAGACTTCACAGACAGTTTGGACTTCATGCAACAAATCCAAAGCTCTAGCAAAATGAAGTCACATTCTATGTGACAGCAGTTAGATGAAACAGAGGGGGACTGATTACTTTAAATGAAGTCAGAGTCTTAATATTGGGCAAACAGGTTCCAATTTCCCAAGTCTTCATTACCCGTCTCACTCAATTACATCACTTGTCAACCCCTTGAAGACCCAAGTTCGCAATCTTAACTATGTGAGAGCCAAAGTCACATTTTAAGTTTTAATTACTGTGCCTTAGAGATCCAGGAAACAAAAATGCCACTTGCCCAAGGACAGACACTTCCTGAAATGCTAGAGGCAGTGTTTATGGGAGATAACAAGTCACGTGCCTTTCATTCTCATAAACAAGTTTGTTTGAGTCACGTGCACCAGATATGCCTGGTCACATGTGGGCAGGAGGTTCACAGGCTGGAGGTGTGTCAGAATGTATGCTTGGCCCTGATTGGACCTGGTGGGAAATGCAATGGATTGTGGGTTTTCCATCTCAAGCTGCCACAAACTGTGATTCTGGGCCATTTCCCAGGAACCTGGGTATGAACCTGGCCAGCGCCCGTTCACCTGGCCAGGATTTAAATAAAGCTTGCTTCGAATTTGGCCTTAAACTGTGGTAGTGGTCTTATTCTCAATCAGTGGGATTAACAACTAAAACCTGAAGAAAAGAGAGACCTCAAATGCCAATACCCTCCTTTAATGCAGAGTCTAGGCTTGAGGTCCTTGTAGTGCAACACCTACTCAGTGGTGGGAATGCCCCCGTGAGCCCCAGCCTGGGTCCTGGCACTCTAGATGGATGAATGGTGTTCGCTTAGCTGTTGGAAGCCTGGAGCGACAGACACCAGTGTCTCTTGCACAATGGCTGATGTTATCGGGACTGAGTTAAGAACTCACCATCCTGGTCTGCACACATTATACCTTTCAAACACACCAACAAAAATACGTTGATTAATAAAGAGATTTGGAGCCAAACAAGGCATATTTTCTGTCTCAGCAGAACCCCAACACAACAAGCTATTGCAAGCATTTGAACTCCACCTACCTGCTGGCACACAGAAAGGACAGGAATTTTCCACTTTGCCTGAGAAAGCACAGCGTTCACAGAAACTCCTCTGAGGAAGATCTGAGTGTGGTAGAGGACACGAGCGAAGAGCCCTCTGTCAGGTGTAGACACCGTCCCCAACCCCAGCAGTGTCAAATGTGGGTTGACATAGCAATGACCTCCGGCTTTCCACCCCAGGTAGATTTTTGTCTCTGTCACTATTTGTCTAAGCCTTAGAGTCCTTTAAACTGACGCCCGCCCGATAGATGAGGAGTTGAGATTTCCCAACCCCACTGCAATTGCATCCAACTAGTTTGTTATTAAATAAAAATAGGCAAGAGCGTGGTGACTTTGAAGCGTGGCACACACGTTTGCGGGGACAAATTGTAGGGCGCAGTGTGGCATGCACATTTCCGGGGGCAAATTGTAAGGCACAGTGTAGGTTTCCATGCATTGCATTTGCACGGGGATGAGAACACCTTAAGCCAGGGGTGGGGGAGGGGAGTCCACCGAGCACAGGTAATCTTCTTTGTATTTCACAATCAGTTAAAGAAAAAAAAAACAAACAAACAAACAAACAAACAAACAAACAAACAAACAAAAAAACCAAGGGGAGGAGAAGGAATTTTCAGCCCTAACTCCAAGTAGGGATTGGAAAACTGAAGTTTCACACTAGTAAGACTGAAACCCACAGGCGAAAAGTTGAAGGCACTTTTAAAAGAAGCGAGTCAAGACCGACTGAACCATTCCTATCAGCTGGCTGCTAACTTCATGGAAGTGGGAGAAAATTTATGGAGGGGATCACAAAGTGTGTGAAATAGAGGAAATGTCTCTTTTGTGTCTGAGTCCCCCTCTCGTGTTCTTTCCCCCTCCAGCACCGCTGTCTACGTTCTACAGTAGAACACAGAGTTCCCAATAACTGTGTTCTCTTTCACAGCCCTAAATATGGACCAACGCAGAGACTCAAGAAAACTTTTTTAAAATTAGTTTTAAAAAAGAATTCTTGTTCAGTGATTGATTGTGACTTTAAGACTGAAAGGAAAAAGTAAAGAGAAGAATGAGCTCTCACAGAGGTCTCAAGACCTATCTCTCTTCTCACAGGGAGTTTTCCAGGGGCGCCAGCCACTTTTCCCAGGAATGGCTTATGCAGTTTTGGGTTGGAAATGAAGCATTTGCCACCAGCATCTGGCAGGTGTAGTTCTTGGTTCTTTTAACTTTAATACTTTATATCCACTGCATCAGTAGAGGCTCTTTGAAATTGTGTGTGTGTGTGTGTGTGTGTGTGTGAGAGAGAGAGAGAGAGAGAGAGAGAGAGAGAGAGAGAGAGAGAGATTCTACACACAATCATACTCCAATTATGTAGCAGATCTAGATTCAGCAAAAGATAAAACAAAATAAATCTTATTTTTATTTTCCGGGGGGAAAAGGCTTTAATGTTAATGCTCTTTTTACCTGGGACCCACTTTCACTCTTTCGTTTGACTGAAAAACAGTGGCTAGGGATGTAGGAGCCCAGTTGGTAGAGTGCTTGTCTATCGTGTGGGAATCCCTGTGTTTGACAGTCAGTGCCCCGTCAGCTGGGTATGGTGGTATACACCCACAATCCCAGCTCTTAGGAGATGGTGATGAGAGGATCAGAATGTCAAGATCAGGACATAGGAAAGAGACATACATAAAACCCATCCATCAATCAAACAAATAAACAACAGGGCCCCAGACCTTAGTAGGCCCTGAGGTCTTAGCACAACTGACTCCATGTTGATGGAAATACCACTCAGTAAAACTCAACCTGTGGGCAGCACCACCTGCCAAAATGAAAACAAATACCTAATCTATCAAAGTCCATATAGTTCTGGGAAAGTCTCTAAGTGTACTAACCTTGCTCTTTGGCTTCTGCACTTTCACTACTGGCTAACTGTTCTTGTTAACTGAAGTATGACATCCCAGGACATGTTTTTTGTGCTTAATAGGTCACCCTGAGAAATGTTCAGTACTACCCTGGGATCCCGAACACCCAGCGTGGTCACTGGCTGGCTAATAAAGACTTCCTATTGGCTTAAACCCAAATCCGAGCAGTCTCCTTTGGTGAATACCCCAAAACACACCAAAAGGCACCTGTGAAATTAATTTGCAGATAGCTAGCTACCAGTCCATACATTTGAGTACTAAGTGCATATTTACAGAAAAACGTAATTTTAGTATACTTTCATTGTAAGGAAGTCACAAGTGACAGAGATTTTTAAAAAGTGGTTGGTGAGGTGACTCAGTGAGGAAAGGGACCTGCAGCCAAGCCTGAGGACCTGAGTTCAATTCGTGGGACCCAGGTGATGGAAAGAGAGAGCCAGGTCTTGCAAGTTGTCCTCCAATCTCCACATGTGTTCTCTCATTACAATGCAAATGCTTGATATTAGTCTTTTAAAAATTAATTTCTTTTTAAGGGACATATTGTCTAGCATCCATGACTGGAAGACCCAGACCCACACAAGGAATAAAAAGGTATGGTACCTGAGATTCAGAGGAAATCTCGGCTTATTCCTGAAATCAAGACAAAACAAAAGCATGAGTATTTTTCTCATTTATTAACCTTGCCTATTCTTCCCTGCGTTTCTTTCACGCTGTATCTGTGACTTCCCGTACCAGACAGGCTGAAAAGCTGGTTTGCGAGCCTAGACTCCCACTTCCCCACTCACTACCCAGGGCACAAACGTCGGAGGCTGGTGTTCAGCTTCAGTTTTGTCTTTCAGTTTGTAACTCCAAGTGTATGTCCTGTGAGCACCTTCTTTCAGGGACCAGTCGGTGACAGGCAAAAACTCCCATACCTTGCTCTGTGCAACGTGTTCATCTGGCTGCCCCTGATCCATATCAATGTTAGTAAACTGGTAATCTAGGAAGCCAACCACTTTCCCAAGTCCTGTGAGCCACTCTAGCAAATGATCGGATCAAGGAGCTGGCTGAGGGAGTCACTGGTTTGTATCCCATTGGTTAGAAACAGCAAGTCCTGTGCCTACGGTCTGCAGGGGAGCAGTTTTGTTGGATGGAGACCTTAACCCGTGGGGTCTGGTGATATCATCAGAAAGATGTGAATGGTTGAGAATGTAGGACACCAAGTTGATATCTGTAGAAAACTAGAAAATCACTTTATATGGGAAAAAAAATCCCATATTGGCCACAGATGCAGTCTGTGTTAAATTTCAGTATAGAGAAAAATAGTGTATTATACAAATTCAAACCAGCATTTACTGATGCCCCAGACAACAGCAGTACTCATTCTTATCACCTGAAACGTGGGACAGGTCCTGTCCCGTGGTAGGCACTGTGTCACGTGAATCAGGAGGGGCATGCTTGTGAGGTGCCATTGTAGCCTGTGATTTGGGATAGTTGTCTGTTAGAGCTTCAACCCTCCCTGTCTCTCGGGCTTGCCCCCAGAAGATCTGGAAACTGTCTCTTCACATTCTGAACTGCCAAGACTGTTGTAGCTACCACCACAAGACTAAGCGGTATTAGGGCTCAACTCTGAAGCCCGCGGATGCAAACCTTTGAAGGTCTGTGACCACTGCGAGTTGCACCCCCACCTTTGGGAACTGTTGCGGTCCACAATACTGAGGCACTCATATATATTGTTGGCAGCACTCGGAGCTAAAAGTCATAGAGAAGCTACACATTTGGCTCTGCTCATAGCCAAAGCTTCTACCTTCCTAACTGACACCTTATTTAACAGCATCGGGAGTCTTCTCTTAGAGAAAGTTACTGCATTGAACTGGAAGAAGCAACTGCTTCACTAGATGTTTAGATATCAGGATAGGAACAGAAGATCCATGACGGTAAAATGACACCTTCAAACAAAAATGATAACTCTCTGTAGATAGAACTCAATTTAAAGAAAAACTTGAAATGCTTTTTAAAAAGTATAAAATCTATCCTCAATAAAATGCAAGAAATAATATATAGAGATAATACATCGAATTGAGAAAAAATTCAAGAAATGAATGAGAAATTCATATCACCAATGGATAAGAAATTAATGTACATACATACATACATATACATATATATGTATAATGAACCAATAAGAAATCACATAAATGACGTGTATATATATTGGTTTTTCAAGACAGGGTTTCTCTTTGTAGCTTTGGAACCTATCCTAAACTCGCTCTGTAGACCAGGCTAGCCTAGAAATTTATGAGCTTGGTACAGATCGTTTGAGTTTAACCAACTTGATGAGACATTTAAGGTTTAAAAACGGAAAGAACAAATATTTACATTAGGGGAATTCCATAATGACAAAGGAGAGAAAGGCTCTGGAAGGCTATTTCATGTAGCATTTTGACATTAACAATCTTCCCAATATCCAAAGACTCTGGGCACCCCAATATAAAATGCTAAAATATTATCAATTGCATTTTTAATCTATTATATTCATTGTATATATTTTATTTATTTTAAAAAGGGACCTCCACCAAATGTCATAGTTCAGGATAAATAATCCTGAGAATAAGAACATAAGCAACATGTGAGGCAATGCCTGATAGACACGCAGCAGAGTTCTCAGCAAAGCCTTCCTACACCAGGAGGGAATGAGATGAACTATTAAAGGTACTGAAAGAGGAAAATGATCCCGTCAATCAAAAAATACTAAGCCTTGCAAAATCATTCCTAAAAATGATGGGAAACTAAGAGCTGGTGAGATGGCTCAGCAGTTAAAGATGCTTGTTATGCAAGCTTGGCAACCTGAATTTGATCCTTAGAACCCAAGTAATGTGGAAGGAGAGACTCGGCTCTGTATAGCTTTCCTTTACTCTCCATGAGGGCTGAGGCACACATGCCTATACACACCCACCCGCACAGAATAATAATAAATGAAAATTTAAAGCGATGGAAAAATAAAGTATTTCTCATATTCAGAAACTAAAGGAATTCATTACCCACTAGCATATCTGCCTTTCCTTCTCTGCCTTTGACAGAAAGAAAAGATAAACAGCAGATTTCCTAGCCAGCCCTCCTTCTCTGATTAGAAACAAAGAATCCTTGTACACTTGCCTTCTTGGAAATCTCACTGCCAGATCCTATCAGGGGCTGCAGAGAGATCAGCTAAACACACACACACACACACACACACACACACACACACACACACATGACATCATGATTTGGTGGCTTGGAAGGTGGGGATCAGACAGAAATATGCCAAGGAACCTTATGGCAACTGCCCTGCCAGCTCAAGTCCATCAGAGATGGTAGGGAACATATCTTCTCATCGCCCTTAGCACCCGACTT